GCTTCGAGGAGGGAAAAGAATTTGGTGAGGGAAATCGAAAAGGAGACCAGCTGCACGCTAACTCGGAGCGTTTCGAGAGAACTGCAGACGATTAACGCTTCCGATCGCATCGTCCAGGACCTCCTGAAGCAGTTAGCGGACGCGCGGGAGGAACTGAAAAGGGCCAAGGACGACCTCGCTCGACTCCAGAGCGAGTTTAACGACGAGCTCAAAACGCATGGCCGAGGAACGCAACGCGTTCAGGGAGACGATCGGCGAATTGGAGGAAGAGCGGATGAACTTCAAGAAAGAGAGAATGGCGTGGACGAAGGAGCAGGGCGAGTTTAGAAAAATGATGAAAGACATTCAGGTGATGATGTGCACTTTGCTTAAGCGAGCGAGAGACGATGACGAACAAAGTAAAAATGGGAAGAAGAAAAAAGAAGGAGACGATCAGAAAAATAACGAAGAGGACGACGATGATGACGAAGAGGATGAAACATGGAAGACGGGGAAAAGAAAGAAGCGAGGCGAATCTAAAAATAAAAAGAAGCGTTCCAACAAAGAAAATAATGTAACCAAACCGGTTAGAATTTAATATCGAGAAATTATTACTTTGTGTTTGTTGAATAAAAAATATGCATATAATTCTGAAAATGTCGTCCAATGTAATTTTATCGAGTGTAATTGTTGTTCGAGCGTGATGTTTGAAGTTGTGCGAGTGTAGAGTGTGTGTCGTGCTTCGAGTTTGTCGACCTGACAATTACAGACTGTTGGTGTCGTCTACCTGACAATTCCAGTCGGTGATTGTCTGGCTTCCAGTTCTTCGACCTTTCAAGTCTAGACGGCCGGATACCAAACATTGTTATATCTTCAGTCACAAAAAACAAGTTTAAAAAATTTAAGAAAAACGCACACAAGACCAATATTTTCACATTTTATTTTAGCCTTCTCTTTATTCAAACTAGAAAATCACTAATTATTTTGTAATTTAAAAAAACGCTGACAAGAGAGATTTTTTCCGTATCTTCTTCTACTTTCACCTTCTTCTTTTTTTTTATTATTATTATAGGGGCAATACTTGACAGTGTGTGCGTTGTCCCCGCCGTCCCCGCAGGTCGGGCACGTGTACTTCCTCAGGATCGGACATACCACCTTCCCGTCAACACCCTTGAGGA